CTTCGGCATTCATTTATCCACCTCCCTCCCTTTCTTTGTTACTTGAATGATAAATGTATTCCCTCTTCCTAAATTTATAGTAAACTTTTTGGAACTGCATCTAATCCAGAATCTTGTACTCTTTAGGGCTTAATAGATAGAGTGTGCAGCTCTGGTGATGCTCCATAAATATTGCCCACGGCAGGGATGACATTTCAGTGGTGAATGGCTGTCAAAGAAATGCTATGCAAGAGAGATTTTTATGGACAGCAGCACAGTAATGGAATACAGATCTGAAATGCATCGCCAAACATTGACCTAAAACCAAGCAAGGCTGAAAGATTATTGACAAAGTGTGGGCTGCAAACCTGGGGAGAAGCAGACAGCTCTAAAATGGGCAGATGTCAAGCCCCTCAACATCTCAGCAGGGCTAAGGAGGAATGACACCTATCCATCATCCAGCCAATCAATAGCTATTGAATACCAATAGGGAAAAAAATATGCTGCTCAATCCTGATCCCCCACGGCAAATCTGTTATATCTGGTGTGCACATTATTAATGCTCATTAGACGTGTGTTATTGTCTGTTTTTTGCAATTTGGATTATTATTGCTATTGCTATTATTACTTTGCTTGGCCATCTGTATTTCTCTGTCAGCTAGGAGGAAATTACAGTCCGTTTGCAAATTCCTCAACTGTTTCAAATATATCCCTGGAGCTCAGATACTGCATGTAATTATTAAATGGTTCACAGTAGAATAAATACATTTGCTCTGCTTGCAAAGGAACAATTCCACAAAATCAAATCCAGCACAGGGCAAGAAATTCTAATATACATATGCCCTAAAAGCAGTTCTGCATATGTATGAAGTTTCCTTTCATTGAAAGCATTTAACTGGAAGTTTTAGATATATTCTTAAAAAACGTATGTTTGAAAGGAAACAAGTTAATGGATTGAAAGTGTCAGGACAGCCCGGAAAAGACACACAGCTAGTGAACTTGGTTTCTGAACCAAGGGGGACACTGCCCTTGTATGCTGGCGACTGCCCTTTGTCAGGCATTTTATTTTTTACTTTCCACGCCATGAGAGCCCTGTGATGAAGAGCCGCTGCCTTTTTCTGAGCAGCAATTGCTTCTGAGTTCTAACTGGCTCTGTGGCAGGCAGTGTGGCTGGAATATCAATAGCAGCAAGCCTGGGGCTGGTCCACATCCGTCAGTTCTTGGAGTTGCCGTGTGTGCTGAAATGCTCATTTCTCAAGCGCGCTAAGACAGCTGAATAGAGACGCGCATCCGATTTAGTGCCCATGCCCAGAAGTGAACATCTGAGGAATTACAGACAATTCTGGGAGGTAGAACAGCTAGCCAGAGGCTCATGCTAAATTGGCAGCAAATTCTGCTCTGGCCCAAGACCAGTGAGGAGCTCTAGGGTTGCAGCGTCTGGAGCAAGCAGCTCTCCTTGCCTGCAATGGAAGAAAAGTCCCCTGTTTGCTCCGGCCCAGCGACTGACTCAAACACCAAATGTCTTCCCTTTCTTCTTGCAAGTTGCTCAAACTTTCCGACCCACACTTCCTTTGAATCTTAATAGAACACAGCACCCTTCACCGGTCTCCAGCTCCCAGACCAGTTAGCCAGTCTCCTCAAGAACATGTCATTTCCTTTTTTTCTCCCCTTCCTTGTCTGAATGGTATCTTCACCCTGTAGTATCCTCACCATTCTCTCCCTGTAACCCTAACCTCTACTTTCACTCAAATCCTCAGCAAATGCTACTTCTTCGCGAAGTGTGTCCCAGCAACCAGTCAGATAATTACCCGCTTCTCCAAACTCTCAAAACATCTCTCTTACAGTGGTGTCTAACTGGTGTCAAGCCCCGTCTTCACCCCGTTAGCAGTGTTACCTACCCCTTCTGTGTCCAAATGGGATGGTAATAACAATACTCACAAAACTTATCTCAGAGGGGTCTTATGAGAATTCATTGAATAAATATAGGCTTAAAACAGTGCTGTAGCCCTAATAACTAGGCATCAGCTCTCTTTGAGTTATTTTAGCCCAGGCTACAGTTAGTTTCTTGGATGGCTGCTGCATTCTCCTTTGAAATTGTACACCAAATGGAACAGTTACTGCCTCTTTTTATGCCCCATGCTTTAAAAAAATCTAGTTCATGTTATGGAAATATCAAATACACAAAAGTAGAGTAAAATCCACCACCCAGCTTTACCACGAGGAACCTACAAAGAACCAATCTTTCAGTTATTTTTTCCCCCTCCTGCTCCAAGCCCTAAGCAACACTGAAACAAATAATAGGTATAATGTTTTCTCTGTGGCGGAGTTGTTTTTTTTATTTTATTTTATTTTTTTTATTACAGAATTTATTTTTACATCATTTTGCACATTTTTTTTCCATCTCGATTGTAATCCCGCGGGTTTCCATCACCAAATCACCCCTGTGCCACCACCATAGTCCCGTGCATTCCCCGCCCCCGCCCCCCCGTTTTTAATCCCATTCCCCACTCCGTGTGGCGGAGTTTTTAATAGGTACATCCTACACTCATGGGAAGGACACTTCAAATTTTCCTTGTGCCAAGCAAGAAATATCTCCAAGACAGATCCAGCCTTTCACACGACAGCATCCAAGTTTGTATGTTTGAACTTTTACCCACCTTCCCCACATCATCATTCACAATAGCGTTTGTTTTTCGAGGCCACAATTTGAATAGCGGCACCATCCACTCTTTGTTAGAACAAGTCAATTTGGGTTAGGATCTTTGACAATGACCTGATAATTGGGAAAACCCCATTTATTTCTGGTCCAAATGGACACTGTCTTGACTCACTGGCTCCCTAAGAGGCTAGGCTTTTGTTTCCCTGACTCACAGGGACCATGTCTCAGGCAATAGGACACTTGGGGATTTTTATTGCTGACAATAAAAAGAATTTCATTGCACTAAACACTAATTAGTTCTAGCTAGGTTATTTTAGTCAGTTTAAAATTGCTCTTCCACGAATAAGTTTGCAGAAGATATTTAAGAAAGAAGACATCTTCATATTTTTTGAAAGAATATGATTAAAGCACATCACACAAGAGATTTGCTTGGGGCAGGTTATGTTTGCATTTAGAAAACAGGGAGGGGAAAGATACTGTTAGGCATAGTTTTTGTGCCTGCGTCAACCCATAAATGATTAATTCAGTACATACTAGCTGCAGAGAGATAGCAATAGACAGCACACGTGTGGGCTGTGCGCAGGCTGTGATGAAGAGGGTTGTGCCTGTCTTGCAGAAACCAGCACGTGCTTTCCACAGAGGAATCCAGGCTGTCTTTCCCAAGTGTCTCACTTTGGCTTATTGACATTTATTTGGTAACTTCATAAGTTGTGTCTGAAAATGGTGCATTTACTAAGGATAAATAAAGGGTATACTAGGGTATGGGGTTGTGAGTCGTGGGAGTCAGACGCACCTCATATCAAAAAGTCTTTTAAATATATATATATAT